AAGGGCGTGTGCAAAATTTCCGTTCGGGATGTCAAAAACCGAGGGACTAGTTAGCGTATATACAAGGAGACGGACACGGACATGACTAAATCGAATCAGACCTTCACGGTGGTCTTTTGTACCTGTATACTTATATATGTATACATATATCTTACAACATCTACAATGTTTCCTTCTAGGTGTTACAAACATAGTGGAAAATTCAATATACCCAGTTCATCCGATGTGGGAATTTTAATAGAAATGTTCAAAGGAGTTTTGGGAGGACTTCTTTTTTGTTATTTTTTGTTTAGACTTCACGTTTTTGGAGGGCACAATACTGGTGCAATCCTCATGTAATAATCTACACCTCTTCTGTTTTATTGGCATAGGCAACGCTTACGCGATCTACAACAATTGGAGACTCCAAGTTTAGCCAAGTACTTCTCCACTTGCACTTTCCAACGGAGTGAAGGTCTCTTCTTCCTCTGCATCCCCCAACGGGTACTGCGTCGAATACTCTCAGAGCTGGAGTATTTCCACCCATTCGAACCACATGGCTTAGCAAATGGGGCCGCTGTTTCTTAATTCGGTAAGCTATATCAATGTCGTCGTATATCTCGTACAGGGCATCATTCCATCCACTACGGTATTCGCAGAACCTTTCTCTCGAAAACTTGTAACGCCGACTCAGCAGATCATCGTACATACCTCTGCACAAAATAGCAGGACATGGATGATGAATGACTAGTAGAGTTTAGCCTTTGTTCGTCGGGAGGGGACTTTTCTTCTCTATTGCTTATTTAGTTCGAAGTAGCACCTGTGGCAAGAGTTCTTCTGGGTTGGATTTCGAGGCTGACATTGTTATTAGTTTTAATACTAGTTCCAAGATAGACGAAATTATCAGGGACTTCGAAGTTATGACTGTCAACAATGACGTGGGAGCCAAGTCGCGAGTGACTGTTTGTTTGATGGCAGGAGATATTTCGTCTTGCCCTCATTCACTACCGACCCATTTGCTTTGCTTCCTTATCCAGTCTGGAAAAGCAGACCCAACGGCGCGGTTGTTGAGGCCAATATCATCAGCGTACGTACGATGTTACCTTCTATAATTAGTTCTACAGCCCGAATTATTTTCTGCAAGAGTATATTAAAGAAGTTACACGATAGAAAGTCGCCTTGTCTGAAACTCGTTTGGTATCAAAGAAATCTTTACGATCCTGCCGGAGCTTTTGTATTGGTCAACGTCAGTTTACACAACCATTTTAGTTTACGGTGATACCAAATTCAGACAGAGCGACATAAAAGCAGCTCCATTTCGTGCTGTCCAAAGCAGCTTTGAAGTGGACGAAGAGGTGATGTATGTCAATCGTCTTTTCATGTGTCCCATCGCTACATGCTGCTTATAAAATGGCATAGAAAAAATATACGTTCAGTAGAAATTATAACTGTTCACATTTCGATAATAAAGGGTTACATCCGAATTTTTTAAACGCAGGAAAATTGCGCCTAGGAAAATAGCTGTACATTTTCAGGTTCTCTTGTTTCCAAAAATTACGCAGGACAGGTGTTTGCAAAGAGTACGGCACTGCAAAAATACGACTTTAATATAAATATTTTGGTCACGAAGCAAATCATGTTAATGAAACTAAGTCAGCCTGTGGCCTACATACATAAGTATAGTAATTAGTACAAAATGTTCGGTTTCACCCGAACTTAACCATTTCTTAGTTAGATTACAGTTTTTGTTGCATAACCGGAAAAGTTATTAATCCGTCTGACTTGTGCAGAGAAACTCTTGCAACTCTTGCAATATGTTAAAATATTGAATTTTGGCAAATTTCATTCTGATCGGAGGTAAAGGTAAAGGTCTAAGTCATTTATACCGCTTGATTTGTGACTGTGTATCTTCAAATATATTTGATTGCATTGGAAAAGAACAGTTCATAATATGACACACTCTGGTGGAAATGAAAATATATGCACATCTTAAATTTTTCGTAAAGATCATATCACTTTTGAAAATTTTCACATCTTTTTGTTTAACGAACAATGGTAGCATAGTATTATAGCTCATACATTGTTAGTAGAATATACAACTGCGAAACAATTCAACGCCCTTCTACTGAAAATAGCATCACAGCCACAGCCACAGCCACAGCCAAAAATACTCGTTGATGTGTGATCCGAATCCTTCATGTAAACGTAAGTTGTAGGCACATTTGTACGTATGTGGCTGGGAGAGCGATACTTACGAATAGGGGAATGTGTACTTATACTGCACAATTATATTGAATCGCATTGATACTCGCACCTTTACCTTACCTAAGCGTGTGTACTGAAATAGTGGTTCATTGTTTCGGCATTGGCATTTTAGAAAATACATAAAAAATGGTAAATGATATGCTTTTCAATACTGAAAATTAAGATGTACAGCGACCAGGATGCAGATGTTCACTTGGCACACCTTCCTTGATGATTTTGTGCCTTTAATCCGCTTCGTAAAAAGGTATAGCTGTGTAACTGTTTTAAAATGGCTAAATTTTGATGATTCTTGGCAAGCATAATGAAGATAGATTCATTACTTCATACGTACACACATACGTACATACATAAGTATGGCATTTTCTATATGTAATGAATGTAATGAATATAATTGCGGTTATACTTCGTTCCCATACAAGCATTTGCACATTTGACTGCACTTCGTGTATGCAGGTTTACTTTAACTTATCAGAACATGATTCGACAAATATCAAAAATAGTTGAAGCGGCCTAACAGATGTGTCTCTAAGTTAACTAAGTGCATAGTTTTTTTCATAGTATTGATCTTGCTTCTTTACCGACAATATTTTTTTTCAATTTGGATAATAATCGTTATAAAATTTTATATTTACTTTTAATAATGGTTGGGTGTCTAATTGAGACTATTAGTGGATAGCAGGCGCAGCCACTCTGCAGGCGGACGCACTTACCGTGGCTCATATTTAGTGCGAATACCTATTTTAAAGCCTTTCTCGACCTCAGTAGTTTTGGAGCACGTGATGAACAGCCATGCCTTTTGTACATTTTTTATTTTAAAATATATGTACTCTATGGGTCTAAATAAATGTAGAAGCTATATGTAGGATATATAACGTTATTTGTGTCTGTAAATAACTTGGATTAGGGTAGGTTAAACTAGTTGGCTGTCATGCCATACATAGACCTACAGGTCCTTAGCAAAGACAGACGGAGGTTCGGTTTAATTCGAGCTGAAATGTTCGTCATACAAGACGTCAATGCTTTTTGTGAACTTAAAGAGCGAGTTGATTTTTGATCTTTCATCGTAGTTACTAAAGCTAATTTGGGCAGTAAGTTGTTACCTGCAACTAGGTAAGCAAACGTCTTGCATTCAGTTCGAGATATTTTTCTTCTATAATGGCGTCGACACCACTTACTCAGTTATAGCCGAGTTGGCACGCTATTGTTAATCGCGTCTTCTTTTAGCAATTTGGCGCCAATTCCAGATACCCATAGCAGTCATGTCCTTCTCTTGCTCTTCCTCTGCTTCTCCCGGCGGGTAATGCGTCGAATAGTTTCATAGCTGGAGTGTTTTCATCCTTAAAGACGAGATCATGTAAGTGTGTTTTTTTTTCGGGACCCTTGCTCATGATCTTGGTGATCTTTGTTTTTCTTAAGACATTTAAGACATTCTAACACACCTGAACCCTTTGCCAATCCTTTCGGAAATTTCATAAAGTATTGTTTTTAACGACACACATAAATATTTCCTGTACTGGTTCGGTGGTTCGGATGGCACTTTTGACAATTTCATCAGCTATTTCATTTCCTTTCCGGAATACCTTTGTGGTTTGGAATTCCGTACATATGCAGCCGTTTTCCGACAGCTAAGACCTTACTGCCTCCATACTTCTAATAACTTCATCGGATGTAATACTATCATGTGAGATTATTGAATTAATTACCGCCTGGCTATCGGCTTAACATATACTTACATATATTAAGACAAAAAATACACGGAAATTGTACTTAAATTTCCCGGGTAACTTATATTTCAAATAAATGTATTTTGTTAAGTTGGTAAGACTGCCTTAACTACTATGCCAAATAAGAGCGATGAAAATATTTAAAAAGTGAATGGTATGATGCTAGAAAATCGTCAAACAAGTGTTGGGGAGTTGACAAGAGAGTTCGGCATCTCTCGCGAGTCCGATTGAATGCTTTAGATGGATATTTTTGGTATGAAACGCGTTCTTGATCGACTTGTCCCGTTAAAGAGGATTTTTTTTTTTCAAAAAGAGTACGATTGCCACCGATTTTAAAGCCAAAAAAAAAGCAATGAATACCACCGATCAACCACCGTATTCAGCAGATTTGGATCCCCCTGATTTTTTCCTGTTCCATAAACTGAAGTTGCCGCTCCGTGGAACACGTTTTCAGTCTATCGAGGAGATAAACTAAAATTTGCTGCAAGAGCTAAGGCCATCCCGAAAAGTGATTATCTGGTGTTTCGAAGACTGGAAAAATCGTTGGCATAAGTTTAGTTTAAATGCTTAGGATAAAGTTGGGTTTAATTCTCGAATTAAGAGACAAAAGACGAGACCAATCATTTCTTTTAGGTGCGATTGGGATGCTTTTAGAAGATGATATCGACATTACCCGACGAATAACACCCAAAAAAGTACGACAGTGTATAACAATAAAAGCGATCAAAAGTCGAAACATATTTTTTAATAGAGTTTCGATTTGTGTGTTCATAATTGTGTTATGTATGAGTAAATTTGAAATTGACCAAGGTTATGTAACCGTAATCTTAACAGAGAATTTATGTCACTGTTGTCTCAAGTAACAGATGCTCTTGTTCTTCTCTTCTCTTTGCTATTGCTCTCTATTGTTCCGCTGTTAACATTGTTCTGCTAATATTGCCCTTTTAGACTGGGAGGAAAATTTGAAAATGAAACGAAACGAAAAGAGAAATTGAATTTATGATTTTGCCTCAGTCATACTCTGAACGCGATTTGGTAAAGTTATTTGTTTAGTGGAACGGTGTTTGTCGCGATAAAGTTTACGCACAGAAGTGATTTTGCTGAGTGAAGTGAAAAAATAGAAATTGTTACGTTTTTGTACATAAATACATAAGAATGGTGTGAATGCTACAAGAAACTGATTTGATATTAATCAATCGAAAAATTGTGTTGTGATGTTATTGATATTGCTCTGCAAACAAGTGAATTGATTAAAATTTTAAAGTATATATAAATTTTAAAGTGGACATAAAATTTGAAAGTAATATATGTATATGTTATACATAATATATATATACATATGTGTATATACGACAACTAAATTGGATTTAAGAAGCGACAAGTTTTAATGAAATATAAATGGAATTGCCGCTGGAGTACTGAAAAACTTCACTGTTGTGTATGAATTAGGTAAGGCTACGCTTTTTAGAATCTGTCTTAACAAAAGTCAGCAGTTATATGTGTACGTATGTATGAACGCAGCCAATGCGCGCTTTGTAGGGTCTGCATAATGCATTAATTAAGTTATTCAATAGCGTTAATAAAGCAAGCGAGCACACATCACTGTTACTTAACGCATATGCATATACATACGAGTATATGCATATGTTGAAATAGCTATACAAATACGTCTGAATATTTTTACATATGGTAAATGGTGAATAGAACATACATTTCATATATGAAAGCATCACTGAAAAAGCGACTTTTTCGTTTTAAATCAAATGCCCCATCGTTTTCACTTATTTACGTGAAACAATATTAAACTGACAAAATTACACATCCATATGTGGTACAATGTCAGTTATAAATAAAAAATAATAATTATATGTGTATAGATACACATACATTAATATTTTTTTGTTAGATGACATTACCACTTATACCAAATAAAAAAGTTTTCATACAAGTACTTCGTTTTGATCGCTCAACTTGTATGAAAGCTATATGACGTAACACCTCGATCCGAGAAATTTGTTCGGCTATTATTGTAGTGCTACCTTAAAAAATACTCCACGCCAAATATATCTCGTCAAATAAAAAAGTTTCCCATACAAGAACTTTATTTTGATCGCTTAGCTTGTATGATAAATATATACTTACACTGTGATCAAATTGAAAGGTGAATTTTGTTCATTTCATCTCCTTGAAAGTAATCCCCTCCCGCTGCAATACACTTATGTCAACGAATTTTCCAGTCATTATTGCACTTGAAAAGTCCTCCATCATGATGGTCATCAGAGCCGATTACACGAAGGTAAATCAGTCGAATGCGGTGGTTGCGACAAGATATTACTTGAAAATATGCCGAAATGATTACGAATAACCAATGCAGTATGAGATGGTATTCAGAGCCTCACAAAAGGACGGGCATCTCAAATACTACTGAATATTTTGACGTGAAATTTAGTATAGATGTGACTAACAGACACCGATTCAAAAAGAGGGGAAATATAAATTAAAAATTCACTTTTCAATTTGATCACAGTAGTATATATGTATACGTTATAGGAGTCCGATATCGTTTGTGAGGGGGGAAATGGCGTGCCTCAAAAATTGAAGGACTAGTTTGCTTATATACAGACAAACACATCGTGACCATTGTATGTGCATATGTGTCATGCCACTATTCTGTGCATTAACAGACGTTTACTCACCTCCTTTTACTACTCCGCAGCTCTGCTATCGCTACTGGATTTTTGTTTAGCTGCACAGTGCAATGGTTAAGCAACTTTTCATCATTGCACCTTTTATTACCTCTTACCTCTTACTTGACTTGCAGCATGCTGAACTAAAAGTATCGGCATATTCACATGCATGCCGTAAGTACATATGTGTGTGTATGGGTACAAATTGAAATGTATTTCTTTCAAACTGAGGAGATGCCTCATTCATATAACTGAAAATTAGAAATGTTTATACATATGTATGTACACATACACATGCAACCAAACTTGTACTTATGCATGTGTGTGTGTGAGTGACTTACTGCCCACGGAAAAAAGAAAGTACGCTTTGTTCTCGGCGTATTGTGTTCATCACGGTGGGATACCCATGGCACTAGTCATTTTACGATTTGTGGCATATATCGTGGTGCAGCGATATCGTTTTATATATACATATGTATGTATATGTATATGTATATAAAATATGCGTACGCAAATATCAAAATTATAATGTTGCTGTTATTAAAGAAATGAGGTTTCTTAATCTCAGTTCAAACTGTGGAATTGTGAAATGTAGAATAATAATTATGCACTCTAGACACCCGAAACTCATTGTGCAGTTGTGTGATAATAAGAGAAGACAAAACTTTAACTCAATTAAATCTCAATCTCTTTACATCAGACATCAGGAGTTATAAATATGACTTCATGCACATTAGTGAATTGTTCAACTTTTATTAGATTTGGGCGCTTACCTTCAGTGTTGGAAGTGATCTCTGGGATTGTCGCGAAGATGGGGAAGGCTTTCAATTGACAACTAATTGAGTAACTACATTTGTTTAATTTTTAAACACCTTACCCTCTCTCGTTGTGCCGTCGGCTTGCACAATTTACGATGTATGATGTATGTATGTATGTCAAACTACAAAAATGTATAACAGTGCAAATTCTTTAAACATTTTAAATATTTTAAAAAATGCACGTAATATAATAAAGTTTCATGTGCTTCCGTTAATCGTAGAAATATGTTGGTGTTGCCACATTGAAGAAAGTTATAACATATTATCGATGGAGTTTATCCGAAAAAGGAATGAAAATTGGATGTCACCATAAAGCAAGAAAATAAAAAGACGCTAACTTCGGTTGCTCCGAGTACCCTTCTTATGCGGTTATAGCCGACTTTTCATTGGGGGTGTTTTTCACGTGGTGGGCACACCACACTCGAGGATACTTGGTCTAAGATCGGAAGTCTTGAGTTGAATGGCGCTCAGAGAACTTTCCTCACTTGCGTGAACTTCTACACATGACTTCATTCTCCCGAAAACGCTTCACAGATATAAAAGATTCCACACAAAAACTTAATTTCGATCGTTATTTTGTATACCAGCTACACAATATGCTATAGGAGTCTGGAATGGAAATTTCCTTCAGTTATTACACCGTTATCTTGGACAATAATACACGAATTTTTTTTGACTGCTATATAGTATAGCGATCCGATAGTGACCACACATGAAGAGCAACTTTAGAGCAATAACTGATTCGCGTATATACAGACATATTGGCAGAAGCACATACGGACAGACAGACAAAACTAAATCAATTCTGCACGTCATGCAGATCAATTATATATACATTTTATGGGTATCCAACGTTTCCTTCTAGGTGTTACAAAGCATGCAGTTAATAAAATGACATAAAAGTTATGTACAATTAAAATTATTGTATGGAAGACAGATAGACAGAAAATTGTGATGTGATCCTCATCCACGCAGATGGTATCTAGGGCCATGAGCCTGCTTTTACAAGTTTCTGGGCAATCTAGAATAAAGTGTTCTGGAATCTCATGTTCTATGTCGTAAAACTTGCAGTTTGCGCAAGAGATTCAGTTTGGATACGTGCTTCATGAGCCCGCGGTGTATTATATATATATATATAGATCAGGCGGTCTAAAACCGTCCACGGGTTCCTGAAAATCGTTGACTTGACAGCATATTAATACTGCAGTCTAATCACAACTTTTAACCCAGAAAACATATTTTTTGATATTGGAAATATTAGCCCTGCAAGTAATTCAGAACATCAACGCGGTTTAATGAAAGATTTAGACGTTAAAGACCCAAGAATAGGCTCGTAGACTCACCACCAATCAATAGTAGTTTCTAAACTGACACTTAAGCTAAAGTGGATCGTCAAAAGCTCCCGCATTCAATGAATTTCAGCGAGAGCCATTATTAGTCTGTACATTTATCATGGATTTTAAATCGATAAAAGACCGCTGCTTTGCTATGATTTTAACCAATGATCAGCGGATCAGAAAGTGGTGGCAGGTTTTTTCGAAAGTAGCCTTGTTAAAATATAGTCTCGAATTTCCGTTGTAAGTGGCAAAGTGTAATTTAAAGATATCTCTGTTTAAGGTTTGCTACTCTGCATTTTAGAGCAGAGTGCTTTTTGGATAATTATTTAGTAATTGCAGTGTACCTTTCTCTTGAAGTATTACTATTAATTAGTGCCTTGTTTGCAAATTAAACCTCTATGCAAAATAATAAGATATGACATCATTCTCTCTATGCTCCATAGAATATACGTCGAAGAAGAAAAGTAACTGGAAGTTTTTCAAAACACTGAAAATGGCACAATCGAATTTACAAATCGGTTATTTTGTTATAAAAGCATTACAATGCTGGCTGTTTCTAAGCTATGGGTTCTCACAGTTTAAAGTAGCAGACTCGAGGATAAGTGGAATGACGTCCCCACTTGAAATTGACAAATCACATCCCATGTCGTGGGATCAAATTATAGACTTAGATGATAGTTTTCGCTTATTATGGACAATCACGGATAAGGATGCTATGTTTGAAGTACAAGTCCGAACCCATGGATACGTGGGGTTTGGATTTTCAGTAAATGGAAGGCAAGAAGGGACGGACATTGTTATTGGATGGGTGGATAAGGGGCAGACATTCTTCCAAGATCGCCATGTTTCAAGAACTGTGAACTCTACAGAACCTCAAGTTGATGCCTCTCAGGATTACGTGCTTCTAAAGGGGTACGAAAACACGACACATACAATCATAAGGTTTCGCCGAAAATTAGATACCTGCGACAGTGTTTACGATATTCCAATTACAGTAAGTAATTCGTTATAAAGATTTCCTATTAAACTTGTAGTATTGAGTTCATTAGTAAAATCATGAAATCTTTTTAGAACAACACTATGCGTTTAATGTTTTTATACGATGAGAACGATCCACCGAATGGCTTAGTAAGTCCCGGATCCTTACCCAATATAAGAAATGCTTGGCGTCAATCGCGTTCAGTAGTTTTAACGGAACGTCCCATTCCTACGCAAAGCTTAGAAAACACTCGAAAATTGGAATTCCGTAATTCTGGAGTGGAGTTGCCATACGACGATGAAACTTTGATATGGTGCAAATTTTTCAAATTGGATAAAATGAAGAGAAAAAATCATATTGTTAAGGTTAGTATTAATTGATCATAAATCATAGTAAATTATATATAGTAAACACAGTTATAAGAAACTTTAACTTAAATTTAACATTTATAGAGCTTTGTGTGTAAAATTTTAAAATTACATTTTGATATATACAGTATGAGCCTATTTTCGATTCATCTTGGAGTGTTCAATATCTACAATATATTACGCTGTATGAATGCCATGGAAGCGGACCTGAACTTGAAGCATTAGCTCATGAACCAGGGCAACAGTGCCACAATATACGCAACTCTCAGCTTTCACAGACATGTAATACTTATATAGCCTCTTGGTCTCGTGGAAATTCCGTAAGCAAACCTAACCTAAAAAACATTTTATTTTACTAAGAAACAACTTAAATTTTAGGAGTTTATCTATCCACCTGAAGTTGGCTATCCCTTAGAAACGAATAATATGCGCTTTGTTATGATGGAAACACATTATAATAACTTGAATATTGATTTTGAGCAATTCAAAATAAATCACATGTTCGATAGTTCTGGTTTGATGTTACACATCACCGAAAAGTTGCGAACGCATGATGCTGGATTAATGTCTATCGGTAAGCATACACTATGGTTAAGAAATGTCTCATATATAATATTAACAATTGTTTCTTACTTTTTAGGCATCGAACCAAACTGGCATCACATTATTCCGCCGAGTCAAAAACGTGTTGTATCACAAGGCCATTGCATAGAGCAGTGCACCGGCTCTTTATTTCCAACAGAGGGTATAAATATCTTTGCCACTATGTCGCGAACACACCAGATAGGTGTGGAAGTGAAATTACGACAGGTAAAAATATTGATGATTGATTCTTTATGGCAGTTTTCTTGAAGCGTTAAGCCTCTTTATAACATGGTTGTCTTTCTAGATACGAGAAACGCGAGAACTGGCTCCTATTATTGCTGATAGCAATATTGACCCGAATTATCAAGCATTCCGACGGTTAACGCAGGTTACGCGCTCTCTTCCAAGTGACCGATTGATCGCTGAATGTGTTTATGATACATCCTCTCGTCAAGCAATCACTTTAGGTATATAAATTTGTCAAATTCTGTTTACTTCTGTTTTTACAATTCAAATAATATCTCAGGTGGTCCATCTATGAAGGAGGAAAGCTGTATGGTTTTTGCGCTGTACTATCCAAAACAAAAGAAGCTCACTTCATGTCATTCCTCGCCAAGTTTGTCGACTGTTTTACACTCACTTGGAATTGAATATTTAAATGCGTAAGTCCTTTACTTTCGCAAATTACAATATTAGACACTTAAAGCGTATTATTGGTTCAACAGCAACTCTGATCCTGTGGTTATATCATTACCTGTGGAATTAAAAGGCATGACACTGGAAGAACGTTTATTAACTTATGATTGGGACAATCAGTTTAAGGCATTTCAGGATATAACACTGAAAGGTGCCTTCAAAGCTGTATGCGAAATTGATAATTCAATGCCTAAGGTAATTAAATATACAGACTATTTTCTTAATATATGTATATATTAAATATTATACGTGTATTGTTTTCTTTTTAGGTTTCTAACGCTTTAACTAGTTGGCCAACTAATTTAACCGATACATATGAGCCGCCAACTCTGTGCAGTCAACGAGCACGTAGTAGAACCAACTTTGAAGAACAGGACACATACGATTTAAACGATGTTTCAAGCAACGATTTGGTTGCATCGTCCGTGCGTAATAGCCGAAGCTCATTTAGTGAGACATTAGCGTTGAGTAGAGAAGAAACTGTTGCGTCATCTACAAGGCGATTGTTCGGTGGTAGTTTGATCTTCCTAGTTTTAACTTTAATAATAAATTAAAAGAAAAGAATTAAAAGAGAATGACTGTAATGATAAAGCAATATTTAATTGACAATGAAAGGAATCACCCTTAAAATAATGTTGTAACCTTACCTTAACCAATACTCGTATATGTAAGCAATAATGTGTGTAATGTTGATGTTAGAGTTCGTGATTAAAGTTGTGAGTCTTTCATATTTTAAGATAAATACATACATATATATACTATTTAGTTATACATAACTGCAAAGCATACTAAAACTTTAATGTTTAGTATGCCAAACCAAGCTGTGATATGTCTTAGCAGTACTTTATATAAGTAAGTAACAATATATGTATATGTGTATTTAGTATGTAGAAATGATTATGTAACTGTAAGTCGACGATAAACGATAATAAAATCATATTTATTAGTTACCTATATTGTAACAGTGCGGAATTGTGTATAAAGATTAAGATTAGTATAAAATAAAACAAAAAATACTGCTCTAAACTTTCTCTTCTTTCAACTATTTAAACTGTTGGAACGCAGGGGCAATACAAAATTATTAAAGTCATTCTGGTTATTTGATTAAATTATTCCAGTAGGTGCATACGCTCTTTTAATGGTGTTCGATCTCCCGCAGCTTCTCGACCTTCACCAAAAATTGCAAACATGTTCGTTAATAGTCGTCTTTCTAAAAGTGCGTTGGTCAACTTATGCAGATGGAGCGGGCAGGAGTTCGTAAAATATTAGATGTTTCCGAGTGAGTGCTGATGTCGGTGCCTACGGTTCAGAGGCATATAGCTATGTAGATAATAATACAGGTTTGATGTTGTAGTTGAGGGTATGGATATTTGACGCCCAAATAGGTTGTCAGTTGGTCAGATAACTGTAATTTGTTTCAGGGTATAGCAGTAGAAGTGTTATCTGCGTACTGAAAGTGTTTAAAATCCTACCGGCACATCCTTGTGAAAATGTGCGAAATCGGATTATAACCACGCCCACTTCCTTTATATCGGCTTTAGTGTTTCATGCCAAAATAAAAATTGGAAAATTGGCGTGTTATTGGCTCACTTCAGGCGAAATCCTGCAACCCAGGAAGTTCTCGACCAATTTCCACCAAACTCGACGAACAACATTATATTAATATGGGTATTATAACGTTTGATAAATTAACTCAACCGTCCCTGATTTATGGAAATAAAACACCAATGAAGTCACTATATCTTATCAAGCCGAATTGGTGGCCCGAAAATTGCGGTCGATCTCTACGGAAAACAATGAATCTTAAAAATGCTGAAAAGTGGTTCTCAAAGAAACCTTACACTTAACTAAGGGATTTTCCGATTTTCAAGATAATCTGCTTCGGTAATGATATGCCTTTGGAAATTATTACTTTTTGATATAAAGTTTTGTCAACACCGGCTTTGATATCGAAAGTACTGGGTGTATAAAATATTCGCGCAAACCCAAAGTTTGCTCTCCTTACTTGTTAATTTTTGCGTTGAAGTTTCAAGAGCCTTGAAATACCACTATGAGCAAAAAATAGTAAGATTTTGTTCATAATCTTAAAATATAAACCCACTTGGACACAATACACTTGTGTCGACGTTTTTTCGAATCCTCGAAACAGTTGTTAAAGTCAATTCCCGAAATAGCTTTCAATGCCAGCAGCGATTCACCTTTAATGTTTTCAATTGACTCAAAGCGGTTCTCCGGAGTGCTCGTTTGTGTTTGCTGAATGTAGAGAAATCACACGGTGCTAAATTATGCCAATACAGTGGTTACGTCACAATTGTCGGCACATAATGATGTCCTCTTTTTACGAATAGATTCGCGCAAACGCTTAAATAGTATTCCTTGTTGACATCTGACTGGCCGGAAGGAATTCGCAGTGCACCAGACCATGATAAACGCAGAAAACTGTCAACGTAACATTAATTTTTGACTTGCTTTGGCATGGTTTGGGCTTACTTTTCCAACCTTCTGAGCATTTCGTTACCAGAAAATTTATTCGGTAAACAAGTTTTAATGGAACTTCTTTGTTGAATAATTTCACTCATCGTAATAATCGCCGAACGCGCTTTATATACTTCAGTAAGATAAGCGTATAGTAAACATTAATAATTATTTTGATGTGACATTTGGCACAGATGTCAATGACAGTCCTAATTAGAAAGAAAAATATTTCGACGAATGAGTTTATTTAAATTAAAAAGTCCAACTATTTTTACCCACAGTAGTATGAGGTAATGCTGTACGTACATATGTACATATGTATGTCTGAATAAAGAGTAAAAAAATAAGTTGCACACAGAAGCAAAGAAACACTGACTTCGACTCTTGTCAAGTAGGATTAAGTTGAAAGCAAATAAATGGCGGATGCACCTTTGCTTCTTTTGCTTCTTTCTGCTTCTCTACTGCCTACTGGATCTCCTTTGATTGCGATCGTGACGAAACCCTTTGTATGTTCATCCTTCTGAAATTTGATAAGCGGATTAGTCAGGTAGAAGGACCGCAGCCGCTGTGTGTGGTTTCTGAAGGTGCGCGCGCAAATACTTAGCCCCATTTGAGATGCACATTAAATATTATCTCTTTTTTCCTGCTGCTTTTGTGCTCGTACACACATGTGCATATGTACACACACACATATGTACATATGTATATATTTCACAATACTGTACGTGCTTGACTTTATCGTGGCGTCTTGAACTTTATTGAGGCATAAAACCGAAATACTAACAAATGCGTACTAATTAAGATCCTTATACTGCTTTTTGGTAAAATTACTCATTTTTTCACACTCGCGGAATAAATGTTGCAATCTTCTAGAAAGGCTGGTTTATTCGAGACTCGATGAAAGTAACGAATATCGAGCTCGTGGATTAAATGAGTGGAAGCACATCTTCGAGTTTCACGGTACAAATCTTCATAAATTGCAATAAATTCAGCGATTATACATCTTTTCAAGTAAGGGAGTGCTAAGTTCAGTTGTATGTATGTAGGTGAGGAAACCTCAAGCCTGAAGCTTAATATGTGGTGTATGAGCAAAAAATCAACATATATTTTAATGAAATCTAGATTTCCCCTATGTTAATGTGCCCTAATATACATGCTATAATGTGGTGGGGGAGATTAGTGAAATCGATTGGAGTTACCTTAACTAAATTGTGTTGTGATATTTTATGTAGAAAATTTAATTTTAACGCCAAAAGAAAATGTACTTTTCTCAAACTTTCCTCTTGCCACAGCAAACTCGATACGGCGAATTTCAATGTCATCTGACTTTAAACGGACATACATATGTAAGTATGTAGATCAAGTATGTCTGATATTTTAATGAAAATACGCCTGGCGTTGTTATTTTAAACTGAAAGCGTACAAAAGACAGATTTTGTAAGAACTGAAGCCGCTCGACCTTCCCAAGCGACATTGCTTCTCTTTATGGGCTCTTGAAAGTTCCAAGAAGAACCAACGTTTTCGAGCCAAATTTTGTTTAGAGACCCATTTATGGAACTAAGGAAAATTTCCATGTTTGGTCGACCCAAGATAACAGACTATTTGGTGCCTGGAATTGAAGCTCGCGATCTCGGCGACATTTGGTTTCAACAATACGGCGCCACTTCCCACACACCGCATCAATCAATGGAATTATTGAAAGAACACTTCGGTGAGCGGATATTTTCACGTTTATTAAATAATAAGCTTGCACTTTTTTTTATTCCAGAATATATTGTTCTGTGTCTGCGGTAATTGTATACTTATTTATTGAAATATTCTAGTTAACTATCTTTCGGAAGTTTAGAATCCATCCATTTCCATCAAAGTTTGGCGATTTTTTCGAAACAACCGCAATTCTGCTTGTTTTCGGAAGGAAGCGATTCATGTACTGGTTTGCGCATATACTCTTCGCTACTTTTTCCTCTCCATCGGTTGAAATTTCAATGATATTTACATAATCCAAGTCACAGTTCACCTTGGAACCCATGTCAAACGCTGAAAGTTGAATAACAATAAAGAACCAATGGCAAAATAATAATTAGAAATGTGTGAAATATTACGAAAATGTTTTAGAAATTAAAAAAAAAAAAACGTGTTTAAACTTCGGAATTAACCTTTATTCAATACTTCTAGCACCTAAGCTTTTCATAATATATCACAAAATTTACAAAAAAGATTGATAAGAATTATCTCTTGGTATCCTATGACTCTTGTAAAGGTAGATCAATGGATACCGTCCTGTCTGTTGATGTTGTAACGTGTAAAGAATTCACTATTGAGACTTTCGTATATGTGTCCTGTCCTACGAAAAGGGAGCTAACGTGCGAAAACTAGTTTATGTTTTTTTGGATTCTATCACGCGAAAAAGCATCTCATCTTCCATCCGAATCAACTAAGATTTTTTGACACCTAAGCCCCCTTCCATAGACCAGGTCACATATATTAATGAATCTTTCAAAAAGCCTTGTCAAGAACATCAAACACCTTATTTTCAGTCTTCTGTGCGACAAAGCTGAGAAAAAACTTGGGGATTGTGGCTGCTTATGCAATCGATGCCGCACTCATGGTCAAAGGAAAGTACTTATGTAAACAATATATACGAGTTGACGAGGTATCTCAGCTGTAACTACTTGGGCGGCCGAAAGTGGTCTCGCCATTCACCGAAATAAAACTGAGATGTTTTTATTTACTAAGAGATATAAGATCACGGAGGCATCACTGCTGAGGATGGAAAGTATATGACTGCAATCTGCAAAGACGGTGAAGTATTGAGTTCTCTGGGGTTGTTGTGTCAAGTTTTTTGAGTCATGGTATTAGAAGATACCACACTTGCAAGGAAGCCCGAAAACGTTCAACGAGCCGCGCTCATCAACATATGTGTTGAAACAGTGAAACCTTCCTGATTATTGCAGAGCTCTTCAAGCCTAAGTTGACCCTAGCCCCAAGATTATTTGTAAGAGACCGAGTGAGCTTTTCGCTCCCAGTAAGCCAAGCATTTTCCTAATTGTAACAGTTTTAGCAGACTATTATCGTATCGATATTCATGCTGTAAGGTTAATCTTTTCGGATGCCAGCTACAGAAACTGTTTATAAGAACTCGAGGTGGAAACATCTCAACTTCTTCTTCTTCTTTCTGATTGTACTCGGTTTGCGAGATCAGATCTTTTTTATAGTATATATAATCATATTCGCTTTTCCAGCCGGCTTTATGTACCGAATATGTCAGTCAATTACCTTCATAAAATAAACTGGTTTTTAGATTACTTGAGTAATATCAAAAACTAGTGCAATCATTCCAGACCTTCCACTAACCCAATTTCTGCCTTTTCAGCTGAACTTTAATCGTTTATAAGTGACAATTAATGGATACGTTTTCTTAAACATAATGTAGATTAACGCTGAATATGAACGAAACTGGTCTAGAGCGTGTTAGAGGTTCCTTATA